ATCTAGTAGCTGCTGGATTGATTTCTTGTGGTCCCTTACAATTTTGAAGCAATTTTTCTTTTCCTGGTCACTAATTGCAATCTTATCATCTATATCTGAAATTCTGTCCTTGCATTGGCTCATTCTGCTGTGTAGACTTTTAATGGAGTGTTTCATCTCCTGGAAATCTGTTTGCCTCTGTTTTATGGATTTCATTTGTTTCCTATGTTGGGATTCCATCATGTTCCTCAGGTCTTCTCTAGATTTATTAATCATGTCTTGCACTAGGAGCACAATCTCTGCTGTTATCTCAGAAATTATTTCTCATTTCATTTTATCCAGGTCCTCTTTTGTTGCCAGTTCAGTGGGTCCAGGTGGTTGAGTATCAGAGTGTTCCTTCTCATTTCCCTTTGGGGTTGCTGTAGGTGATTTGGAAGTCTGGTTTTGAGACTTGTTTATATGTCTTCTCATTTCAAGGTAGGGGGCAGGGTGTGTGTGTGTGTTGTTGGCTCCTGTGTGGCTCACCTCCTCTGAGCTGGGAGTGGTGGTACGCTGATCCGGAAGCCCCTTCCTCTTCACTGGGAGCAGTGGGTGTGGTGGTACAGAGGCCCAGAAGTCTCTTCCTCTGCTCTGGAAGCAGTGATAAGGTGACCTGGAAGCCCCTTCCTCTGTGCTGGGAGTGGTGGTAAGGTTGCCCAGAAGCCCCTTCCTGTGTGCTGGAATCGGTGGGAGTGGTGGTTTGGTGGCCCAGAGGCCTCTTCCTCTGAGTTGGGAGTGGTGGTATGGTGGCCTGGAAACCCCTTCCTTTGCACTGGGAGTGGTGGGAGTGGTGGTATGGTAGCCCTGAAGCCCCTTCCTCTGCCTGCCTAAACTTTCAATGGAGTTTTTAATCTCCTGGAAATCTGTTTGCATCTGTTTTATATATTCCATTTGTTTCCTATGTTGGCATTCCATCGTGTTCCTCAGCTCCTCTAATTTTTTTATCTGTGTCCTCTCTAGATTTATTAGTCATGTCTTGCACTATGGGCACAATCTCTGCTGTTATCTGAGAGATTATTTCTGATTTCATTTTTTCCAGATCCTTTTGTTGCCAGTTCAGGGAGTCCAGGTGGTTGAATATCAGAGTGTTCCATCTCTTTTCCCTTTGGGGTTGCTGTAAGTGATCTGGAAGCTTGGTTTGGAGACTTGTTTACATGTTTTTCATTTCAAGTGGGGAGGGTGGGGGAGGGGTGTGTGCTGCTGGTGCAGAGGAGGCTCACCTCCTCGGTGCTGGGGATGGTGGTACGGTGGTCAGGAAGGTCTTCCTTGGCGCTGGGGAAGGCTCTGCTCCTTGGTGCTCCCAGTTCAATTTTTCACTGAATTTTAGAGTTCTCCTCTCTTCTAAAAAAGGGAGACAATTTTGGGACTTAGTATATCCTCAGTTGGCTATCTCCCTAAAGTCTTCACTTTCATAGGAGGATCTTTGAGAGAGTGCAAAACAAAGTGATGTTGAAAATTTAGTCACCCACAGTATTAAATTTGGTCTTAGACTTAATATAAGCTCTGTGGCTCCTATAAATAAGAGATCATTTAAGACTTCCAGGGAAATGGTCTGGTTTTCAGGCTATATCGAGATCAGCATTAAAGGATATGAACCTGTCCTTTCCTTTGTGTTGGTGCTACAAGACACAGGTGAATCTATCTAGTTCCACAGTTCTTGGAATCTTTATTACTTCTCCAAGGGTCAAGTGCAGGGGCAACTTGAGTTCCTAAGACACTTCCTGCATTAGGAACTTCAACACAGCCAACCACTACTGGTAGCCAAGTATGATGCTGATGTTTGCCGTGGATTACTAGTATTCTGTGATGGTTAGTTTTCAGTGTTGGCTTGCTAGGCTACAGTGCCCAGTGATTTAATCAAACACTAGTCTAGGCATTTCTGTGAAGACATACTGCAGATATGTTTAGCATCTGCAACCAGCTGATGTTGAGTAAAGGAGATGACCCTTGATAATGCAGATGGGACTCATCAATCAATTGAAGGACTTCAACTCAGCTGTGTTTCTTGCCTACACTATGGGCAGACATTCAGACTCAAGTTTCAGACTGAAGACTGTAGGTTCAACAGTTGTCTGAGTTTCCAGCCCACTGGCCTGCCCTACATATTTCAAACTTGCTAAGCCCCACCACTTACAATTTTATGAGCTAATTACTTACCCTCTTCTATGTTTATATAATGCACACCTTACATATATGTACATGTACATTACTTACATATTCTATTGGTTTTCTTCCTCTGGAGAGCCCTGACTTGCTCAAGTCCAAGCGTATAACCTAAATCACATAATCCCAAGTTGCAGGGATGTCAATTCTTAATCAGCCAGGAGCTAGAAGCCACTTCTGTAATATGACCAGAAAAAATGTAATTTAAAGAGATTGAGGAAAGCTGATTAACTCTAAAGAAGGAGGAGGAGAGAACTCTAAAGAATATAGGAATAGCAAATGGAGGGAGTAGATAATAATGACGAAGAACTAATTTGGAAGAGGCTCTTATTCCCCATGTCTTAGATTTAGAACTCCTCAGAGAACTGTGGCTCAGTCTGCTGCATGCAGAGAAGTTTGCTGAATCCTGAAAACTATGGCTGCCCAGCAGGAATATCTCTCTGGGGTGCCCATGAAAGCTGTTGGAACAAGCCACTAGGTATCAGCACACCAGTGCGGCAGAGGCTGCCTGCACTGAGTGATGCTCAGGGAAAGCCCACCTTCTGGGTTATGGTGAAAGTTTTGGCAGCATGGGATCTCTGCAGGTCCCACACATCCCGGTGACCATGGCAGAGGAGTCAAGTGGAAAGCACATTGGAACCAGGGAGAAAAGCCCCTTTCTTTATTATGGAGATCAAGTATTGTGATACCAAAGTTCAGATTTGAGGACATTTTTTCTCAAGCATAGGGTGGCTACCTTGTGCTTGGCTGAACTCTAAGCAGGCTGTCATTTCCTCCTGCAGTGAAAGGCAGTGCTTGACTCCTGGTGAAACTAGCTTATGAAGAGACTGGCTCCAAGCAAAGGTCTCTGGACTTCTTGATGCCATTGGGTAAATAACATTTATTTTGGCCTTGATGATATATTTCACTAGCACTGGGGCTATAAAACTGTCTGAGGACCATATAGGATCCATTAAGAAATGGGAAAATCCCCCAAACCACTGTTGCTAACCTGCTTCATTATGTAGAAATATGTTTTGATTTTTAAATGTCTTTGTATATTTAGGTACAAAATAATAAACTTTTCCTCCTCACTCAGTGGGCATTGTGACTGTGTAAATATTGGCAGTTTTTAAGGATTCTCACAATGCATTGGAGGGTTTTTTTCTTTTTCTTTTTTTTTTTTTGACAAGCTCTTGCTATGTAGCCCAGGCTGGCCTTGAGCTCATGACCATCTTTCTGCTTCAGACTCCTAAGTGCTGGGACTATAGGCATGCACCACCACGCCCAGCAATGCATTGGTTTTTGATGTAATAAGAATAGACAAACTGAATAAAGACCATAACTGCTTCTCTGGTTAGTTGGAAAAGCATACTGTGTCAATTCAGTATTTCCCTCATAGTGGGAATGAATCAGACCACAGAATTGTTGTTTTCCCTTTAATCCACCGTAATTTCTATTACTAACCTGCATTCCATTAGCACAGTAGAAATCATCTCAATCAGGCTTGGCTCTACCTTTTCTCTCATTTCACACCTTGCATCTAGGTTCTAGGAAACTCGTGGGAAGTGACCCATCTGGCCCTGTGCAGGTACAGTATTTGTGAGATGACAGTCTAGCCCTCTGGTCTTGGGTGCTTCAGTCTGGTATGCTGCTGCTGAGCCATTACAGGTTCCTATCTGTAAGGCATGTTTACCTCAGGTGCCCTACTTGGGGGAGCTGCATATTTCCTGTTGTTTCGAAGTGCTGGGGAACCCAGAGTCCTGCATGGACTCTCCTGCCTGAATGCTAGAGGCAGCCACTCTCTCCCCCTCCTGCCATCTCTGCTCTGTTCTGCTTCAGGGAAGATTTTCTGTCTTCTAGGGTGGTAACAGGGTGAGGTAGAATATTATTTTCCTTCCTTGTTTGTCTCAGATATTTTAAAAGATCCCAGTACATTTGTTTTAGCCTTAAGGTTTAATTCTTTATCTAACTCTGTCCCCCAAAAATTAATGCCAAGAAATCCACTAGGCCTGGTGTACTGTTCTGACTCAATTTACTCCTCCCTTAAGTCAGTGAACCTATGCTCACTAATGTTTTGCTTGTGAAAGGGGCATACAGTGGCAAATGAACCAAAAGTATCTTCCAAATCTTTTTTCACTATTAATAGTGATAGATTCTAAAATAGCCACCCATTTAAAGTTCAAGAAATTAAATTCTAGCAATTGTAAATTATTTATTATAAGATATATATATATAATTTAAAATTTCATTATCTGTGGAATCAATATACATTATAACCACTTCTTTTAAGCATTTTCTTTTGAACATTGAATGTTTGAATAGGATTCAGAATATAGAACAAGTACATCTCATAAAAATGTCAGACTGCTAGATTTCTTTCTTGGTTCCCTTGGAAAAATTAAACACAACATAAAAGCCTCATTAAATTTTAGAGGTAAGAATGTGTTTTATGTAATGTATGATAAAAAATTCCCAGGTTATATAAACTTGAAGATTCCAAATGAGTTATAGTCATTTGGAAATGACAACAGAGCAATTGGCAGCTTCAAGAATTTAGATACAAAAGTGAAAGGCTTCTTGAGATGACAAGAATCTCCTCTTAAAGTCTAACTTCTTAAGAAATTTATTTGAAAATCTTGAAATATTATGTAGGTAGACTTTTAGAATACATAAAATTATTCAAATTTCTCTCCATCAATCTGGTCTGAGTATGCCAATTTGGAGGCCAAGAAAGTCACTAATAAGGAAGCAGGAGGAAATAAAAGTAGGCTTCTTGTGAACTATGACTGTTTCCCATTTGAAAGAAGATGATAGTTTGTTATTTTAAGAATTGTGGAGTGGGAGAAACAGATCAGCCTTTCATACCACTGAAATAGATTTCTCCTGGCCCTACACCTCCCTCATTACTTGTTGCTAATTCTTTACAAAAGAAAAAAAAACCTTCCTACATTTTTGTCTGCAATAATTTCATAGTTGTATTTAACAAGTCTTTAAGCATGGATGTGGAAAGAAGTGAAAATAGCTTATTTTGTGAGGGCAAGAACTTCTTGAAAAACAACTATCTTTTCCTCTATATTCCTATTCCCACCAGTTGAGGGGTAGCTGAAGGATTTCGTGAAGAAGTCTGAGTTTCCTTGCCCAGGAGAGGGTTGAAAAAGAGGCTTTTGTTACAATGGTCTGTGCATTTGGAGCAACTGCACTAGACTGACATTGAGAGAGGAATAGAAAGTCAAAGGGAAGAAGTTGAGCCAGGGAGGGTGTTGGAGCTGAGACCCTTGATGGTGGTGGCCAGGACTGAATATGTAACACTGACTTCCAGGGATGGGGGAAAGATTTCAGTGGAGTCAGTTATTCTGTGAATGCCAGTCATCCACCACGGAATAAACGACTTGAGTTGGGCAATATATTCTTAGGCTCTGAGACTATGATAGACCAAGACCAAGTTAGAGGTGTGGTATAGCCCCAAATGGGTTTCACAAGCCTCAGTATTCTTGTGTTGGTGGTGGGATAGATGGTGGCAGTGGTCTAAAAATAATTAAGATTGGATTTTCTATCAACCCTAGGGGAAGAGGGTTCCTGTTTTAATTAATTTTGGAAAAGTAGAGACATGTGAAATTTTATATACCTGTTATGGAATAAATCTATACTAATTAAATTTGTTTGAAAAGATAGATAAAAGGAGAAAGCAAAATCTATTTATCTATCTGTCTACTCTACAAATACAATGGAATGCTATGGAGGCTAGTGAAAGATCATTTCATGTTCTCTTTTGGCCCAGAAGTCTAAGTTCAAGAGAGATTAGAGAAAAGTCAGCAGTACAACACAAGAAATATTTACCGACTACAAGAAATATTTACAGACTGTGCTATGCTCAGTCAGTGAATACAAGGTATTTACAACTGAGGAAGGTGGAACAATCCAAATAACTTATAAAATAAATCTATAAAGTGCTAATGATGTCAATAAAAGTTCAACATGATGGGTGTGGCCAGTGCTAGGAAGTTCACCTCAAGCATTGTGAAAGAATCAGTCTGCAGTCATATTTCATACGGGTGAAAGAGACATGTTTAGACTCAAAGAATTGGAAGGAAATAGAAATATTATTTCTGATCATCTTCAGTGTTGGTTTCCTCATTAGAAAAGATTAATGTAAAAGATGAGTGTTTAGTAGCCAAGAAATCTGTAAGACTGTTCATTATAAAAATCTTAAGACTTAAGTACAAATGAAATTGATAAGCTGAAGCTCATGGAGATTGTTAGCCTATTAAGAAAAAACCTGAAAATCATAACTTGGTATAAATATAAAATCTTCTTTAGAAGAAAGTGGAGTCAGAAATCTTGAGGGCTCCCTTGAAGAAAATCAGACCTGTAGTTCAAACCTAGGTTCAACTGATCTTGGTTGACAACGTGAATGTGTTTGATGCTAGAGAAACAAGTGAGTATCACTTTCCCCAAGGAAGATAGTACAAAGTAACCCTCTTGTCATCTTAAGCAGGTGTTAAAAACTTCTGTTGGAGCCACTATACCAAAACTTGCCCTTCTCCTTCAGATTTAAATGATCAACTCTAAATATGCCAGAGATATTTTTCTGAAATTTGGTAATGAATGGATTCCTTTTGGTAGCAGTGCAGATAAACAGACCAATCAACCAGATATCAAACAGGAAGTACAATGTTTAAGAACAATCTAGTAATGTCTTGCCAACACTGAGACCAAGAGTACAACAGCAGGGGCTTGGGACAACACATTCCCCCAGCAGAAGGTAAAATTCTAGAAAGCTCAGGGCAAGTAGCAGGTAGGAGGTAGGGACACAGGAAGTCCTGATGTTGCTGTTGGTATTCCAAGGTCCTGGGCAAATTGGTTACCTTTATAGGCTTTTGTTTCATTATCTAGAACCAAGGATATTGGGTTAGGCCCATCTTGAAGTCTTAAGATTTTAAAAACTCAAAATCAGGCACATATTAATATGTGCCAGGAAATCATTGTCCTGTGGTTAATTGTAGGTAAAATTTGTACATATTTTCCTGCCATTTAGAAGCTTAATGAGGGACCCAAAAGAGAAATTTGAAGGATTGAGATTGGCAGGATTTATTCATTATCCCATGATAACCCTTAGCCAGAAGATGGAGAAACTCACCTAAAATCTCTGGCCTCAGGTGTGTGTGTAGGTGTTGGAATATTAGAATGTGGAGAGAGAATGTCTTAGCAGGCCTGGGGTTCCTGTGGTTTATTAATCAGCCAAAAGCCTTAGATGCAGAAATGATATGCCTTCCTTCACATGGTCACAATTTTCTTAAGTTCTTCAAAAGCCAAGAATTGGGCTATATTTTCTATGGGAGAAAACACAAAAGTACTACACAGGATATTTTACAGCCACACATGCCTCAGAACTAATTACTACTTTGAGAAGACAGGGGGAGAGATCTTGCCTGCATCAAGGATGGAAGATGCACATATCATCTTGGGATAAAAGGGGCTGCTGTGCTGTCATATCCACATACACAGTTCTGTTATAAAGATAATTGAAGAATTCAAGTCTTTTGAAAATGATGGGGTCCCAAATAAGGAAATTCTGAATTGCTATTCTAGCAAAGAAGTTCCTCATGAGGCAGAGGAGAACCAAGAAGAAATGATGGGTTAAAAGTGAAATGAATGAAAAGTAAAGACTTTCAAGAAAGGAGTCATTACCTCTGTCATGTGCTGCTGATATGACTTGGCTGAGCTCCATGAAAAACATTGTGACCTCAATACAAACTCTCTGTGTGGTTGATGTGAGTCCAAAGACAACAGGGAGAGAAGTGGAGTCGCCAATGAAGACAACTTTTTGAAGCAGGTTTGTTGATTGGCTGTTTTAACACCAAGTGAATTGCAAAGTAGACTTTTATGAGAAAGGAACAGCTTTGTTTGAGAATTCGATATAATTATTTTTGAGGCTGTATAAGTTGATCCCATATATGAAACACTTGGGACCAGACATGTTTAGGATTTCCGATTTAGGAATATTTACATATACATAATACCTTGGCTATACACCAATTTTAGTGCGGCTGTTTTTTACTGTGACCCATCACATAAGGTCTGGTGTGGAATTTCCACTTGTGACAAGTGATACATTGTCAGTGTACATATTTGTGGAGTACGGTGTGATCATGCAATACATGGATACAATCTAATGATCAGCTCAGGGTAAATAGCACATCCATCACCTCAGACATTTATCATTTCTCTGTGTCAGATGTATCTCTCATTTCTAATAAAATACATTAGGGACTACAATGAAAAGTAACCTAATGAAAATTCTTTCCGCTACTAACTTGAACTTTATGTAATATATTGGTTAACATATGAAGTCCTACTTGGTTTGAGCTGGTGTGGGGTGGGATACCACATAGAGCATAATTTAGCCCTTGACATCTCTTTCCTTGACTTTCTGTGATGAGTCTTGGAGAGTTTCATGAGGCGTGTGGTCACAGCTCCCTTCTTCCTGCTCTTCGGCAGAACCCCATGTCTTGGGAAACACTGGTTCACAGTCTGGGGAGCAGGAAGATGGAATCATTGCTTTGCTTCAGTGTCTGTTTTTCCCAAGAAGACTTTGACAGCAAGGAAGTCTGTATTTTTAGAATTAGCATGTTCTGTTTCAATGTTGTGAACATTCATTTTAAGCCTGCTATATTTAGTGAAGGTTTAATTATCCAAGTAGGGAAACTAGTTTTAAAGCATCACCTTTCATTCTTGGCTCATAAAAAAGGTATCCCTTCACCCTACCCTCGCTGAGAGACATTTTCAGCTACACCCACTGAGGGCAACTGCGTCGAGAAATTGTGCACTGGCACAAGAGGCAGGTGAAGGGACTTCAGCTCGCCCCCACGCCTGCCCTTACCCCTCCTCCTGCAACCTACCCTCCGTGGGCTGGGCTTGTGGGGCCAACGTGTCTGAGCCAGTGTCTATGGGGCATGCCTTCCCTTCCCACGCAGAAATCATGTTCATATTTTCCAAAATAGCTCTCAGGAAACAATTTCTTTGAACCAATTTGCAGGTATGTGAGATGTGGGAGAACTGGTCTGAATGAGACCATTTCTTGCATTTTTGTGACTTCAGCATTCCTTAATTGACTCCTTTCCTTCTTTGGGCAGGGCCTGCTCTATCAAGTTGGGTCAATTGGAGATACTGAGTTGAGAAGACCTAGGCTGATGAGTACACTGGTGGGAGAGTGGGGAAGGGCTAAGTTCAACTAAAAGTGCTCTGAAACACAAATATACTATCATGCACATTTCTTCACTCATGTGGCAAATGTTTATCGATTGGATGTGGGGTCCCCACAGGGCCAGGAAAGACTTTAGTAGGGGAGATATACATGAATAGAAAAGAATTGTTCTAATAAATGTATAATTGTAGAGTACGGGCTTAGAGAAGGAATGTTTTATGAGAACTTGTTACAACAGAGGAATATGATGTGATTAGAACAGTGAAGGGAAGTGGGGCTTGAGCTGAGATTCACAGTGGTGCTTCCCAAATTTTATGTGCATATGAATCATCTGGAGATCTTGTTAAAATGCAGATTCCTGTTCTGAGCCTGAGATTCTGCACCTCTAACAAAGTCCCATGTGATGCTGATGCTGGGCCACACTGTGAGTACCAAGGGATGCTAAAGGGTGAGGATAAGAAGCAGGGGTCCAGGGAGGAAACAGATTTCATAGGGAGGGACAAGGATGTACATGCTCTGATCTCGTAGTACCACTGAGGTAGAGGGAAAGAAATCATTCCACCTTTTCCATGATCAATTCTTGGGATCTATATTCCCTGACAAATTTCCCTCCTTTAAGGCTATTTTTAATGTTTACTTTGAAATGTTTTACCTCCTTTAAATGCTGAGCCTTCCATTTAAAAGGGCAGGCTAAAGGTGGATTTCTTCTACCTTTCTCCTTAGAAACTTCCAGAAAAAAGGAGCAAGGAGAGGGGTGGGTGGGAGTGTCAGACATTATGAATTTTACCTTTGATAAAGACTCTCAAAAGACAGTACCTAGAAGGGGCTCCCATGGACTAATGATCACATATAGGCAGAAAAAGACTCCAAGAGGGAGCACCTGTGGGCATATATCTCAGAGGGGTGGGGATCTGCTTCCTTAAGTAGGTGGCACTCCAAGGGCAAAAGCAGCATCTCTTCTTTGGAATCCCAGGAATAGCACACATAGCTGGGGCTACCACAGTGTCTCTGGATCCTATGTGATCTCACAGGCAAGTGGGGTCTGAAGCAGAGCTGAATGAAAACATGGAAATGCTACCTTTGGTCTGTCTTCTAGTGGGGCAGGGTGGGAGAGGGAGGCTGAGTGTCTTGCTCTGAATCTGCTATGTCTGTTGGCTGGAGAGGAGTAAAATCTACAATAATGGACACATAATTCTGTCATGCACATTTCTCCTGGATGCAGAGAGAATTCCTGCTAGGCTGGAACTGCTTGACCCTTCTCAGTGTGAACCACCTCCCAAGGCTAGGAAGAACACACTTCTGGATCTATATGAGATCTATACGAAGATATTATGAGACAGAGAAGCGGGGACAGGGAACATAAAGGAATCCTCACCAGTAACAATTTGCCACTAAAAAGTTGAGAATTATAAGCAGCTTTATTGTATGATATCACAGGACTTAATGAAACAGTGAAGAGGCTCAAATCAGAGCACCTGGAAACTCAGGGATGCTAGTGGGGAGGGCACACAGAGAGAAAAAACATAAGGCCACTAAAAAATGGCTAAACCTATGAGTTGTGTCTGAAAAATCATTACATAAACCTATTTACTACACTAGTTTTGAAATGATCATTTTTATTGTAGTAGAAATACATGATCTGAAATTGCCATTTAAGCATTTGCAAGTGTTCAAAACAGTGGCATTAATTACATGTCCAATATTGTACAGCCATTCACATCTGTCCCCCAAAGGCCTCGTGTGCTCACGAGTGGGGCTTTGGGAAGGTGACTGAATCATGGAGACAGTATGGCAGTTAGGGCGAACTTTTTAGAGCACACAAGGCCTTTGAGGGACATTGTCCATCCAATGTCTGTTTCCAAGGGTTTTCATCACCCCAAAGAGAACCTCTGTGCCCTTTCAGCAATTCCTCCCATCCTGCTGTCCCCCATCCTAGGACCTCTAATCTACTTTTTGTCTCTAGGAATTTGCCTATTTCAGATATTTTGTATGAGTGGACTCATACAATATTTGTTTTTAAGTGTCTGGCTTCCTTCACTTAGCATAGTGTTTTCAAAATTTATGTTATAGCATGCATCAGAACATGATTCCTTTTTATGTCTGAATAATATTTTATTTTGTATATATGCCATATTATGTTTATCTGGAGAGTTGGGTTGCTTCTATTTTTTGGCTATATTACATAATGATGCAACTTTTTTTGGCGGGGGGGTGTTGGGATGGCACTGGTGATTAAACTCAGGGCCTCTGCACTGAGCTACATACCTATTCATTCAGACAGATATGAGGTCTTGGTAAGTCACTAGGATGCCAGGCTGAAATTGTACTTGTGATCCCCCGCTTCAGCCTCCCAGAGTTCTAGGATTACAGGTGTGTGCTCATTTATTTTTTTGTTTTTTGCTTTTTGTTTTTTTTGGTGCCAGGGATCGAACTCGGATCCTTGCACTTGCAAGGCAGGCGGCAGAACCACTGAGCTAAATCCCCAATCCTGCTCATTTATTTTTAAAAGGGAAAAAGCAGAAATGAAATAAGAACGAACAGAGAAATAATCACAGGTAGGGAAAATTAAGGATTATAGAGTATTTATTTGTTCACCAATATGAAAATAAATTTAAAAATCTGGATAAAATCTGTAGTTTCAATAAAAGATGAGATTCTAAGGCTGGTTGCAGACAAGTTTGAAAATCTAAACAAAATCAAATACAAGTGGAAAATAAAAAGATATCAAAAGCCTATTTTCTTCCCAAACTATCATGTATACATGCTTTCTCGTGTGAGGTCTTTAAAGTTAAATGAATCAGTCAGTCCAGTGATTTTTAAACTTTTCAAAAAAGAAAAGCCTCTAATTTCATTCTATGAGGTGGAGATTATATTGGTGCCAAAGTCTGGAGCAATAAAAATCACACAACTTTCTTGAGACTATCAGTACAAAAATCTTCAATAAAATATTAGCAAACAAATTCCAAGGCAACAGTAAAAGAATAATAGGAGCAAGTGAGGTTTATTGCAGAAAAGGGAGGATAGTGAAATAGTATCAAATTTAGTAATGAAGTTTACCTTAGTAATATATCAAAACAGCAAAACCATATGGTCACACGCATGGTTGCTGAAAATGTTTATTATGAAAATTATGGATTATGAAAAACACATAATAAAAGAACTAAATTTATACTGCTTTAATATATTTGTCTTGTCTCAAAAGTTGGCTCATGCTTCATGGACAAACAGTAGGAAATTCACATTGAATTAGGGAAAAGGTACTCGCCATGTTACTAAACATTGATCTGGAGGTACTGACCAACATTTTAGGGAAGAGCAGAAATAGGAGATGTAAAAATGGAAAAGGAGGAGGCAAAATAGTTATATTTGTAGATAGTATAACTCAGTGGGTGAAAAACTCAAAATTAAGTATCATTGCCAACAGTAAGAAACAAGAGAACTGAATAGTGCAGCTAGCTACAAAAATCAATAGCCTTTATACATAAAAGCAACAGGATAAAATGTAAGAAAGGACCACTTGCTCAGAGAAGCTGATTTTGAAGTTACATGCAAAAATAAGAGCAGGAATACTTAGGAAAAATATTGAATTAGAATCGTAATGAGTAGTACAAATGCTCTGATGAGCACATATAGCTAAATTGTCTCAGCATTCTAGTGCTGGTGCACGGAGAGCTAGATCAATGGAACAAGAGAGAAAGTTCATTCCTTTTCATGGCTCAAAAAGAAAAAAAAATTGACACTGGGCATGGTGGTACACACTTGTGATCTCAGCTATTCAGGAGGCTGAGGCAGCAGGATCACAAATTTAAGTCCAGCCTGGGTAACTTAGTGAGATGCTGTCTCAAAATGAAAAA